TGGGAGGGAGGGAGGGCCTTGACCCATCTTGGCAAGGAAGGCTTAGGTTACTATGTTCATATTAACTTGTTCCACCTGTCCCTCATTCTCAGCAACATCTATATATTGCTATGCTTGTTTGCTTTCCCAGCAATACCAGATTGTTGTTGGGCCCCACATCTGATTCCCAGTTCAGCCCACACACATCAGTCCTGTGTGAGTTTATTCTGTGCGATTTCCTCAATTTTCTCCTTCATTTAATTTTTGCTGGCCAAACCTCCTCATGTGCCCATCCACCCCTGAAAAGAGAAGGCTTGTTAAATAAGCCTATTTCTGCTGTCAGGTGATTCTGCACTCAGTCTCAGATGAATGAGTCCTCACATCTTAGGATTATATACAAGGGAAAAGCACAGCTTTGACAGTGAAGCATTTTGCCCTGAGACAAGCAATTACCAAAAAAAATCTAATTAGAAATCATGTATGACTTAAACAAAATTAAAATACCTGATGAGATAAAGAAGTTAATTAAGACTGAATCTAAGCTACAGAGACATTGGTTATACTGAGTCTCTTGCTGTGACCAAATCTACAGCAACCAGAATAAATTTTCAGGCTCAATTTGTCCATTAATGCAAAAATGTCACCCTATATACTTGTATCAACTGCCTAAAGTGCTGGACTCCATGCTGCTCTATTTCAGAGGTGTCAAGCCAGCGCTTTAAGACTTACCGCAGTAATCATACACATTCATACCCCACAGTGCAGCTCTACCTGAACGTAAATGTTGGAAGAGTTAAGGGGGTCAAAGACTTTGGATTTGAGTCAAGGGAGTCTCAGACACCCTGTGCCATGAGAGGCAATGGGCCCAGTTAGGAACTGTGCTGCTCTGAGACTGAATGAACACATCTAGACACTGTGCTGACTGAAGGGAAGTTTTAAAAATAAAACACAATATATTCAAACTAAGTGTTTTGAAAGTTTTTTTTTCGGTTTAAATATAATTTTGATTCGGTTCTGGATTTTTGTTTTCATTTTTCACTTTCATATAAATTTTTATATTTGAGGTTATTTCTTTAGCTGCAAAATTCTAATTCAGACTCAGATCTTTTTTTTTTTTTCTTTTACAGTTTCAAGTCTTATTTTTTTCATTTCCAGATTTTTTACTTTCAGATCTTTTTTCACTTTCAGATCGCACTTTTCCAGTTTCATACTTTTCGCACCAATTTGGCGTAGGGCCGTGGTGTCAACTGAGAGGGGTGTGGAATAATGAGTGACATCATAACAATGTAGGCTGAGGATCTCCACCGTTGCCTTCGGTATCAGTTTGCACTAGGCACCAAATACCAAAGCCACAGCCATATATTGTATCTTTCGTTCATTAACACGTAGAAAACGTAGTAGTGACAGAAAATGCTGTTGGCAAGGGCTCTTAGAAGTCCTGAACTGTTGCAACCTGACAAAAAAACCCAACAAGTTATGAATATGTCTAAGTCAAACCACTTTTGTGAGAAGATAAAAACAAAACACTGACAATAGATTATAATGGCAAGACCCAGACAAAACAAACCAAACATATATTTTAATATAGATACATCCATGTTTCTAGGCTGTATGTGAGCACTGCTCCAGGTCATTTAAAACAATAAGTACTGGGGGTGGGGGGGGCTTAACCAATGGCAGCTGTTTCCTGTTTTATTTTTAATTCCTGTCTGCATTTTCTCAATTAAATCGTATCCATGGAGGCGTTGTGACATCGTCAGGGCGGGGCCCGGCTCGCGACCTCGGGGCTTGGCGTGGCGGGAGGGTGTGACTGGAAGCCAGGTTAGCGGCTGGCTCCCGAACTGTGTGGCTGCGCGGCCGTTCATCATGCTCTCAAGCACGTAACAAATATGCAATCTGAGACACCGGGCACCCTCTTCCCGAACCTGATCGCTTCCACGCCTGTCGCCTGGCCCTGCCACTGTGGCCGAGCGACACGCTGCTGGTCTTGCTCACCAGGTTGCTTTCGAGAAGGATCTTTTCCTGGAGTTTAGCTGATGGGTCGCAGCCCACCCCAGACACCCAGAGCTGGCAGGACCAGGGTGCTGGAAGATGGAGAGGACATTACAGCTGCTGCCCAGTAGGGCGGCAACGGACCAACCAATCCATATGACTTGCCTTGTTTCTGTAAAAATCACCACCAAGTTGTGGGTTTTTCCAAGTTCCAGGGGATGAAGGAGCACAACTAGTGTGTGCCAAAAATGTGTCATCCAGCAGTACATGTGTAAGGTGTGAGCCTGTTTGTTTGTGTATGTATGTAGTTTTCCCCAATCTTTGGGAGAATTCAGCAAGTATTGTCCATTAGAAGATTTGCTGGCTCACAGGATTCTCATGCAATCAGCATTTACAGAGAGTGATGTTGAAAAAGCCTCATTTGAGGTACCAGAACTGGCAGAATCCTTTTCTTTTGCAATGCATGGAGTAAAAAATTCCTTCCCTGTTACCAAGAGCAGCACCTCCTGGTTTTGTCTCTGCTCAGTTGCACGCCCGAATGTGCCTACATGTCAAGTGCAGAAGCAAGACAAGTGACGCCCAGGGAAATGACTGTGCAAAAAAGATCATAAAATAACTGTCGGACTGTCCCACCTCTCTAAGGATGCCAAGCTACAGCCCAAACATGCACTTTGGAGATACTTGGTGTTTGTGGAAGATGAATGAAGTGTATTTGTTTAGTCCTGTTGGGGTGTCACTCATTCTGTGTGCCCTGACGGTGGTCGGTAGGTTATTCTTTTCTGATCTCCAGAAAGGAGACAGCATAAGGGACTCACGTCAATGAGGGGGACCCCCTCTCTGGCCAGCAGATATGTCATATCCTCACATGCTACAGAGAGGCTTCAAAACCCTTCCCATCAGCGAGTAAACATCCTTCTCAATGGAACGAAGGAAGTCCAGCATCCAACACTGGACAATTAGTAGTAACAAATGAAACAGGCTTTATCTTTGTCTTTTCCAGGAGATTCCGTGAGATTACTCACAGCAGATTACTCACAGGAAAACCGGGCATCTGGTGAGGTCATCACTTGTACAGTAATAATCCTTTTTGTATTACTCTGCTAAGAAAAACATTTCTACCATTTCTTTGGTTGCCAGACTGAACTGTAAAAAAAAATTCACTTAAAATTAAATGCAATTTCATATAAAATAAACCTCAGACAATTGTGACTCAAGCTAAGGCAGAATTCAATTCTGCAGTAGGATGACTAAAACACTTCCAAGTAATTTTGCAGAAAATAAGTAGTTTTCTACAGCCGAGAGGAGGAAGATTACAGCAATTGACATTTAGAAAAGGAACCTGATGATACAGCCAAGTCAGTCTCTACCATATCATTAAGCAAACACACCTGTAATTGAAGCAGTCAGGCAATATTATATAAAAAAAAAAAAAACAACCGAGTTAGATGAAAATCTTTTGAAGTAAATGAAAATAACCTGACACTCTCATGCCGCCTATGGCTGACACATCCCCCCCACCCCCCCAACCCTACCCTACCCTGTGTCGCCGCAGTCCGGAACAAACAGCAGTTCTGCGGATCTGTCCGCATGCATTGTTTTGGGAGGGGTGTATCAGCATGTCGCTGAGAGAAAGCCAAACTCCATGTGACAGCTAAGAAGGCCCTGCTGTGATTCAGATGACAACACTGCTCATCTAAAAGTTGCAGATCTAAAATTAGAGGCTCTTGCTGCAGCTGGGACACGGCACCTCTCAGGACAGGCAAGCCCATCAGGACCACTCAATGAACCCACCCCCTGCGCCCCCAGTACGTGGGGCCCGGCCGAGGGGGCCCATTGCTGTGGCACTTGTGATAGCGTGCATTCCACAGCCGCATTCCAGGCTCGTAGGCAGTGGTCCTCGGCTCCCCCAAACGGTGAGGAATGCTTTAAAGACAATCCCCCCCCCCCACCAACCTCTAGACGGAAATGAAAAACACAAAGGCCTTCTGAGCATCTCGCTGTCCCTGGGGGCTGTGCACCTGCACCGTATTTAAAAATGAAAAAATAAGAACTCGGAATGAACGGCGGCCTACGGAAGCCCATGGCCAAGGAGGGCTCTCTGGAAGCATGGCGGTCACACGCCATGACCAGGGGCCAAGGTGCCGGGCCAAACAGCTGCCAACGTACAGTCTGGCCATGTGGGACTCGGGACGAGTTAGAGGCTGTGATCAATGCAGCTGTTAATTTACCAAGGACTTAGCAGGTTGACGGCAGATTAATTAACTGCATTAATTAGAAGGCCTTTCTCCTGAGATCTGGGAAGCGGTCCAGCCTCCAGTCCAAATGATTTTTACGCCGGTCAGATGTGACGTGCTTGCGGGCCCAAGGTTCGAAATAAAACGGTCAGGGTCCCATCAGAGCAGCTCGCTCCCGCCCGACTCCTGTCTCCTATTAGACACTCCTTTAACCACCACTCGCCCTCTCCCTGCTCCTCTCCCAAACGGAAACACCCTCGCATGTTGTCCTTCATTCCTGAGGCATGAGAAACCACAATCCAATCCCACTAGGTTCCAGAAGTTCAACTTCAACAACACTCACATTAAAGGGGGGGGGGTTCTTTTCATTTTATTTTAATGTTATGGCCAGCGGTGAGGGATCAGCTCCTCTCACCAGGCACAGGGGGAAAGTGAAGGTAGCAGATGGAGAGAGTGTGTAAAGGAGGAGAAGAGGAGAACATGAGAGTGGGGAAAATGAGGCGGGGGCTGACAGAGAACGAGGGGGAGAAACAAATCAGACCGGGGGTGATTTACCGCACTGCGCAAAAGCCAGCCAGTGCCATAAATCTCCACCACTTCTCAATTCTTCTGGAAATCAATTCAGTTAATTCCTGCTGGGTTTATTTATGGGTCGACATTAAAGGGGGGCAGTCATCGACTTCAGTGACTGCCGACCACAGCGAGGAACTGCAGGTCACAACTACTCCCATCATCTTGGGGAAGTCCCCTGGAGGAATTCCTTCAGAATCTATACCCCCGCCCGCCCACCCCAAAGGTGATTCTTTTCAGGTGAACAGGTGATGCCTGGAAGATGGTAAACAGAAGGGAAATTAGTTATGACCTTCACATCTTTCCAACAGCTAACACCAAGTCTACAGCCAGCTACTGTATACATTATAGTGACTGTCACCAGTTACACCAACACACCAAATGACATAAATGAATGTCAACAACAAATGTACAGGTAAAGAACTGTGAAGGTCCTATATGGACCACAAAAGTACAATAAAAAGATAAAGAACCCAAAATCTACTTTCAAATTTAACAACTCTTTACCTACACCTTAGAACCCTAAAAAACAAGTGACATATTCATTGCCATGTTTTTGCCGATAGTTAGTCTGCTTTTGTTTGAAATACGACCAGGTTATTTTGCAAGCATATTATATTAATAAGCATAATATGCATCAACATTTCATAAAGGAAAGGAAAGAAAAACAAAAATATTTAAAAACCGAAAGCTACTAGATGGCTTTGAGACATAAGTTTGGAATGCTGAGGTGTGCGGAGCTCAGCTGGGTGGATTATGGGTAATTCTGCCAGGCTGACCTCCCTCCCGTCATGTTTTGAAACATATGGAATACCGGGAGCATTCAGAGTGGCGGGGGGGAGCCAGGCTGCTGAAACACGCGTGGGATGCAGATGTGACCAGCACCTCTTTCGTGCACCAGCCCAGCCCAGCCCAGCCCAGCCAGACCCAACCCCTGCCTGGCCCCCAGCACAAACCCAGTCCATGCTACACCATGAGCCCCTCCCAGGCACAGCACGGGGGACCTCTGCTATATTAAAAGAAAACAAGACCACTGAGCCAGTTGGAGTGCACGGCTAATCCCTTGGCCATGAGCAAATTCTTCTTGGAAAACTTTGTTTGAGCCCCCTGAGAAAAAAGGTTACTAAAAAATGCCCCTATTTTATGGCCGCTTTAATCTCCTGATAAATGATGTAAAGCATAACCTTTTGCTAGTTTGTCCCTCAACCCTTCTCCTGCCCCATTTTTTTTCTCCAACCCCTGGCCGTGCAGAGTTTTTAAAGAAAGAGAGAAAAAAGGTTTTAGGCAAGTTTCGAAAGGCTGGGGTAAGAGATGGAGAAGACAGCGGCATGCGGAAGATGAGACGTGATGAAGTCGGGGGCACCCCGGCTGACAGGCCGGAGCAGCAGGGCGCAAGAGCCTCATCTTGCCGACAATCGGCGAGGTTGACGGCCGGAGGATTTCAAACGGCGTTTTAAAAGAAATAAGTGATCATTTCATTTCTTATGTCCCAGTGAGGCAATTCTTAAAGGCTTTCTAGAAAAACCCCGAACGAAACCCTGCGTGAGAGCCTTCGCTACTTATTTACATCTGAAAAGACGGCCAAGCCCTATGCAATTAATTAGACTAGCCGGCACGGAGACATATTTCGTCTGCTAAAAAGCATTTCTCCACGTTCCTTCGCTTAAGCATCAGTGAAATCAAGCGATAAATGAACTGCAACAACATGAACTGCAACGACGCACGCAATGATTTCCTAACAGCTCCGACTCTCATACTGCACGGTCTATTTCTATTTCCTTATAATTATATTAATTCATCATCTGTAATTGACGTATCATTAGGGGGGCAAATTGAAACGTACGATATCAGTCGCTGTCAGATTCAATAGATCAAACACAGCGTGACTGTTGAATACTAAACAAGTAATGGGAAACCAAAAATAGAGCACAAAAAACATAAAAGATACGTATAATTACAACGTGGGAGCTGCCGTTCTAGCGAAACTAATTAGGGAAAGCGCCGAAACGATGGCACCAAAGGCCGGGCACCTGACACACCAGGAGATTGCATACTTTCTTAATTTCCTCCCAGGGGACGGCGGCGCTCCTCGCCGTGTCCCGTCTCCACTCTTCGTCACTCCCTCATCTTCCTCTCGGTCTGACGGCACCGTGAACTCCCACCTATCAGTAGATCATTGAGCCGAAGCCGATGTTTCTACACATAAGGATTCCGGTTTCAGAACTATTAACTATTTCCTCTTTTTCCCAGAAGTACAACCAGACTGTTCTGGTAGGCTATAATGAAAATAATCAATCAATAATCATGACGTACTGCAATGTAAGACTGAATGTATCCTGACATCCGCACTATTCAATTATTGGGTAAAAAAAATCAAGCAATGCGGGCGTCAGGAGGTGCGAGGGACGATAGAAAGCAGTATCCCTTTCATGCCCCTTTTCCTTCGACGAAATTAGATTAATTTCAATGTACATGCGAACGACGTAAAGTTTTACAGGAACCCAAGTTTGCTACGGACTGATGCCCATCCTCACCTCTCAATCAGAGCGAGTAGGGTGAATGATGTCTTCCTTGGCATAGAGTTTTGTTCTTTTTCTTTGAATCGGAGAGAGAAGGCAGTCACGCGCGGGTTGCAGCCATGCACCGCTTCGATGCACTTTCAGATTTACGTGCGGTAAAATTCTGCCCTCTGCAGGATCTCGGATATTAATGACACTGTGTGCATTCCAGCTCCGAGTGCGGGACAGAGCGGCTTTTCGGCCGCCTCCGACTGAACAAATGGCGACACGACCCCAGTCCTTAAATGCTCTAAGTATGGAACACAGGCATGTGGATAAACGAAACCACTTATACCAATGTTCCGGAAATGGGTTAAAAGTTTAATGATTCTTTATTCGCCACATTATTTTTTCCTCCAAAAATCGCTTCTATAAGCTTGTATATTTTTTCCTCCAGGTTACTAACCCCATGCATGGGCGTCGTTAAGTCTGATCACTCGAGCATTGTACCCCGGATGCCAGCTCCAGGTAAACTTGACTTAGCCCCTGATTTTTTCAATACCTAGAAATGCATCTGACCCCATGTAATATCCACCTAAAACCCATCCACTGGAGGTGCAGGTGTTGACAGTGTTTTTGAAATAAATCACCAAAAATGAGATAAATATTAACAACACGTAATGTGGGAGATTTAACACTACAACTGAAAAAGAAAAACCTTTACGTTTGATCCCTAGGATCAGCCCTGTGCGGTTCTGCAGTTTTTCCCCAGTTTAATACGTAATTAACCCTAATCATGTACATTTTTAAATATTTCATTTTTGTATTAACATTATTTTGTCTTTTTTGGAGCAAAGAATGTGCCGAAGCAGTATGTAAATAAGCAAAACCTATGTGTGTAACACTTAAGTAATGATACATTTAACATACACATGCGATTATTTCTACACTCATAGAGGTACCTGAAATGTATATTTTTGCTTTTTGACCCCAGTCTCCTACAGGTCATGCACAATGACCTCCTGTAAACGCCCCCCCCTCCCCCGCCCCCGCCCCAAGTTTAATTAGTGGTCTTTCAGCCTGTTTGCAGATGCAGTAAAGCTGTCAGTTGTGTGGGGGTAATTAAGATGGACCCACCCATGTGGAGGACATCATGGACAGGGGAGAATAAACCTGTTCGCTGCGTGTTGCTGAAAGCCATTGGCCCTATGTGATACCGGGGGAGTTCTCAGTGAAACACAAAGAACAACCCACCTAGCGGATCCTGGGGGGTTGTCATCTGTTCAGCAAGGAAGCCGTGTAAATGGAAGCGGCTCCTGTAAGGCTCCAGCTGGCTTGGGGGAGAGACCTCGTCGACATGGTCAGCCTTCCCCTGTGGGTCATGGATCATGGCGCCTTCTTCCGGCAGGCCGGGGATATAACCAGCGTGCGATCGCGTGATGCCACCCAACATCGCCAGCACACGCTACAGACATACTCTGGCAGTATCAGCCGAGCCGTGCTAAAACTCGGGCGTGTGACCTTCTCAGAACGCCTGGGAAACCCCAGGATGCAACAAGATGGCGACACATCAACACCCCGTGTCAGAAACTGACATAGAACTGTTGATCCTAATGGAAACTCAGCAGATACGGCGCCTGCAGATGAATTCAGGCAGGGGGTCCATCTCCCTCCTCTGTACCTTCATCTTCCGCATATCTCACTCTGTACAGGTCCCTCTGTAGCCTCCTCTCTCTCGGCGCCTATCCAGGAGGACACAAATAAGCTGAGCAGATCTGCCACAACGCCACCGGAGACCAGGTCGCCTTACACAGTTTCACGTTTCTTGTAGTCAGTCCATACAAAAGAACAAGTCAAAGGTGAAACATGAAACCCTCGGTGCTGCAGCAGATGAAACATTTTTAGCTGTTCTGCAAGGTTGACAATCCATTACAGGCATGATACGGGCGAGAGAGAGAGAGAGAGAGAGAGAGAGAGAGAGGGAGGGGCATGGAGTACCAATAACGAGAAAAGACAGAGCAGTCATGTATGTCCAAGTGGAATGAAATGATAAACTACACATTCACAAGTTAGTGAAAGCCAGCGTGTCGGTGTGTATTAGACATCCTACAGATGAATCCTTCGCTGTTTACTCCCAGACATGAACTTATTTCCCCGGCCCACCAGTTTTAAAGGTTACCATGACTGCTGTTTATAGACCAAAACGTACAGCTTGATGTCGTGATCTCTGACCTCACCAAAGCTGAGCAAGGGGACACCTGCAGCCTTCCTGACACTTCAGCACCACCCGTCATGCACTGATGGAAACGAAACGCACAAACTGCTCTGAAGACCTCTGCCTAAGCACACGCAGCTCGCCGTACACGTGGCCCCCGAGTGGAGACGTGGTGGGGACACTGATGTCATCAGCCCCCCTTTCTCCCTCCAAACCTGGAAACCGTGTACCCTCTGGATCCGTGCGAAATGCCAGCACTGTGGCGCCTCAGGAGACCTTTCCAGCTGGCAGGGACTAGGAGAAACCCCCCCCCCCCCCGAAGACACAGTCCAGACATATCCTTTTCCCCTGCCCTGAACACCCAAAGACAGACTGATGTGTTGCCATGGAGATGGATAACCAGCATGACTCCCTTCCAGCATCCGTGTGCTTAAGCACTCCTGCTCTGGTGTGGGCGGGGCTAATGTGCTGGACAGATGCCCAGAGGCACAGGGACCTAAATTATAAATAACAAAAATGAAAGCAAACAGAGGGAAAAATGCTGACAGGACGTTACTGTGGTAACATACCTAGGCATTTTGCAATACCCATTTTAAGGGTTGTTTAATGTTCTTCTGAAATGACTGTTTCCTCTGCTTCTGGTCCGTTTTAGTGCTAAGGTCAAACGGCTGGGTGGAGTTTGTGGGCACCGCTGTCAGGTAACTGCGCGAGATGCCTTAAAGATACGGCTGTTCATATAGGAACACACATCACGCCCAGCAGAGTGTCATCTGAAGCCGTGCCAATACCGGGCACGTTTGCAGATGTGCAGTGTTGTGTCATGAGGCTAACTGAGTGGTCTAACCACATGTAACAGTTGGACATTTTACCCATTTACACTTTTGTTTTAAGGTCATTCAGCCTGAGAAGATCTGGGGCCCTGATGGTGCAATATGTAATGTTATCATACACAAAAAAAAACACGCATTCACAAATACACACATACACATTTACAAATGCAGTCAAACCACGCTCAAAATGAATACACACACTGAAAGAAAAGTTATGAATACATATACACACTCAAAAAAACCATGTACAAACATACACTCAAAACAATAAAAATACACACATGGTCAAAAAGCATACATACGTAATTAGGTATAAATATGCCCATGAAAACAAACGCATTCACCACGCATATAATATCCTAAAAACTCTGGCTGCTCAAGCGGATGCAATGAATCATATCTATCTATAGGTACTGTGCTCTGGTTTCCAGCTCTGACCTTCCCTGTGCTCACACACCAACGCCCGGAAAAGATGGAACAAGCAACTGCCCAATGACCACGGAGCTTTCTGCGTCACATGCAGTTATGGTTGGGGACAGGACCATCACAGCGTCACAGGTCAGTTAATCAACACCTCATCACACTTTCTCTAAGCCCTGTGGGATTGTCGGTGAACTCAGGGTCACCCCTGAAAAACAGGCTGAACGGAAATAAGACCGTGGGTGAATATACCCACACAAACACACACACACACACACACACACACACAAACAAAATAAGTCTTTTGGCATTTTTAGTTTTTTGATTGCAATCACAGATTTTTATAAAATTGTATTTCCCCTTGTGGAGACCAAAAAGATGGTCCCCACAACATCAAAATAAGAGGTTTTTACCACATTGTGGGGACATTTGGTCACAAACACACCTGGCACACCTGTGCGATCTCCTGTCAGTCTCCAACCATCTAACATCTTCTCGGGGACTACAACAGGCTGGCACTGGGGCTGAGATACGGTAAGAATGGGTAGTTATTTACAATCACGTGTAATTCATCAACATTAATGTAGTAAGACAATTGCAAAACTCTGAGCCTGGGTTGTGGGCCGGCTTCACTTGTGCTCCTCAATGTCCATAATTACATTAATATCCATCTGCCTGCCGCTACTGTGAGGAGGGTAAAATATATTTGATATGTCTGTATCCTTACCCCTCCAATTTGAAATCCTGCATAAAACTGATCAAATCCTGCCTATCAACGTCTGCCTGACAAATGTTCACTGCTATACCCATCAGGGAAGGCAAGTAATTAAGCCATAGATGAGGATGATAATTAAATCAGGGAGGTTGGGTTCAAAACTACAACGCGGAGATGAGCAGAGCTAACCAAAGTGGTGATGAAACGGGGGAGAAATGAGGGAAGATGGTAAGGTTAATGGCGGCGACCCTGCGCGCTCAGCGTACGCAGCCACCTGCTGTGTCTCGGTCGGGGCTCCCCTGGTGTTCGATTTGCGCTTAAGCACCATTCAATTCATCCCTGTTGAGGTCAACTATTTAAAGCCCACAGGGAAATGCATTGAACAGCCAGTGGTACAAACATGGCTGTCACATGACTGTCGATGGGGTATAATCCCACCTCCGGAATTTGGACTGATGTTACATTTAAATGCTAGCTCTCATCTGAAGCAAGGTGCTTTACCGGTGGAATTCAGGTTAAGTTCTTTGCTTAAGGGTTTCACAGCTGGGTACCGTCAGCCACAACAATACTGGTCGTACTAGTTGTTATGTTGCACTGGAGACAGTGCCCAGAGATCACAGCACTGGGTAGAGTGCACCTACAATAGCTTGCCAGTTCATCAGATGACAAAGACTGAGAGGCACACTGCAGACAATTTAGAGACACATATTCAATTTAATAGCTATTTTATTAATCCTCTTGTATTGTCCATTTTGTTGCTGTAACAATGCAAATTTACCAACTATGGAATTCATAAAGATAATCTTATCTCATCTTATCCTCACCTTTATCTCATCTTTATCTCATCTAGTCTTATCTCGTCTCATCTTATCTTAATTCACTTAGACGGCATGTGTTGGGACCATGTGGGGAACTCAAAGCCAAGAACACAGAGGACATGTAAATTCCAGACAAGGCCAAACTGCGCTCCTCTGAGCCAACTGCACCACCCCCAGCTGGCTTCACAGGGTCATTTTTCCCAAAGAGCAGGAACAGTGAAGGTCGCATCCTTGGTCACGTAACTGCATGGTACCAATCCCTCTGCGGAGCTCCTCATTACCTCTGAGAGCAGTGCCTGACTTTGCA